TAATCAGTTACAGTGTCCCTTAGTGTGTTTCTGTCCTCTGGAACACTTTCTCGTCGACAAAGAGACTTAACTGAGACTGTTTTTTATTTATAAACTGTGTGGTGTAGAAAATGAATTTGAAAAGAAAGTAAATGAACCTTAATTTGTAAAACTTCTTTTAAAATGAAGAATTTGCGATAAATTAGAACAAGTTACAGAATGTCTCTGTTATTGAGTGCCTTTTAAACTATAACACAGCCACTGTGCTTGAAGATTATAGTCACCTTTGCTTTTCTTTGCAAGAGAACTTTAATGAATTGGCATGGTTTATTTTGTGTGAACAAATTAAATCTGGAAAAAAGAAGAGCATTCAGTATCTTTCTTTAAAAAAGACTAATTTAGTTAAGGTAATTCCCCTGAAAAAAAATTTATTGCACAATTTTCCTTAAACTTTCCTTAGATGTTCCTTGTAAATGTCTGTTTTGAAAAGTACATTAATTTTTAAAAAGATAAGTCACTGTGTTTGTTTAGAAGTTTAATGGGCCAAACATACCCCATTAAGTTATGCCTGCGCTAATCATGTGTGTCATTTCATCGGTTCACGGGACATTTTGCTGCAGGTGGAAGCAAGGGTTTTTAAAGTAACCCTTAGTTTAAATAAACTTGATACAGTAGGTAGAAAGTTTGGAGCATATGGAACAATCTGATGTATAATTTGTGGGAAAATCAGGCAAATTTAAATGACATAGACTCGAAATGTTCCTTGAGTCGTTTCTTTCAACATCCTAATTTGCATCCTCATATAAAGGGCTATGTGCATGCTTTTAGCTTTATCTTTTTTCCCCTTTGAAGAATTTTGGTAAATCCCTAATTTAAAGGAGAGAAATGGTACACCAAACTTGTACAATAAACATTATAATTAGGTCACTGTGCTCATTCAAGATCTAAAGACCAGTGTACCATTTTACCTGGTCCATGGATTGAAAAGCAATACCATGTTCTTGGAATGTGCACACCCTTATTCCCCTGATAACATGATTTTAATGCACAATACAGGATGCATGGTGATAAACTGAGGAATCACCTCAATATTTGCATGCAAAGAATCTGAATCAAGACATTAACAATTGGTTGAACTGCATGGAGTTTTTTATGGTCTCATTAAGGCAAGAAAGTGGGGTTAGTCAATTTCCAAGTAGGCATGTTATTCACAATGTGCAAATTGTAGGTTGGTACAATGTGGCTGAACTCATAGCAGCTGAGAAAAACTCCTTTAAGCAAGAGAGTGAAGAGCTTGAAGTTGCGCCAAGGATACTGCTTCCTTCATGTGAAACTGACATACATGTATGCAAAGGCTCCTTTGACAGAAACTCACTTTTTTCATGTCTTGTTGTCCTTTTAATTTTAGTCCTTCAACAACTTTTTTGTTCAAAGTGTTGAAGGAACGTTGGTCAATATGACTGATGCAGAGCAGGAAAACAACCTTTTTGAAAATTTTCAACAGGTGTAAAGATGATAAAATCTGCATTTGTCATTCAACCAGAATCATATCAGGATTTTTATGGTAAATCAACATTTAAGTCCTGTTATTTTTTCCTCCCTTAACTGTTTCCATTTTATGTTTTTTCTTAAGTTTGGTTGTTTTTTCCCTTGGCCCAATTGGCTATAAAAACCAGGTATATAATTATATATTATATAATTATACACCTGGTTTTTATAGTTGTTACGTTTTAAGTAAGCAGTGGCCAAATTATTCTAGTTATTTGGGTGAATTTTTTTTTCATGGCATAATAATAGTTATAATAATTAAATGCTGATGTTTTAAAGGCAGATTGAAGTGATAATGATGCTGAGATGACTTGAGCAGCAAAAGTTTGGGTGCAAT